GGGCAGGGACGGAAACGGTGACGGTAGGCCCGGCCGTGGAGCAGGTGCAGACACTCGGCGGGACCGCGCTGGGGCCTGGCCCGCGCATGCGCACAGGCGCAAAGACGCACCCACGTTCGCGCGCTCCCCAGTGTCACGGTTTACACTCGTGTTCGCCCTCAGAGTTCACGCGTGCAGACCCTGGCCCGCTCACACCCTGCGTCAGTCTCCCAGTCCGCGCTCGGAGCGTGCACGCCGCACCACAGCCTCCGCTCACGCTCGGTGCACGCACTCAGACGTGCGTGTCCACGCTCACGCAGCGTGTGGGTGCGCGTGTGCCCCAGCGCACCCCCCACTGGCAGTGCTCCTGCCCGTTGCCGGCCCTCCCCGCGCTCCGAGACGTGTGCAGCGTCACACACACAGACGCGCACACACGCCTGTCACCCACGCTCCTCGCCCACCGTCCCCGAGACCACCAGAGCCCTCACGTGTCCTCATCCGCTGTCCTGCTGTCGCCACACAGCCTGGGCCGCTGCCTGCCCCTGCTTCCTGGCCGTCGCGCACTCCAGGCCCGCCTTCTCCAGGCCCCCCCCTTCTGTCCTGCGTGACCCCAAGGCACGTCCCTGCCCGTCAGTGCTGTGCACAGCAGCCAGCGGGTGCAAGCGGTTCAGTGCAGATGCACGTCCCGCGTGCTCTGCCCGCTCACTCCTGCTGTCCACGCGCACACCCCACCGTCCATGCATCCGGTGTGGACCGGATGCTCCCCCAGCTGCACCCCTGGGCACTCTCCGAGTGGGGCCCTGGTGCAGTGGGGCTCTGTCCCCCACAGCTTCAGCCGGCTGGGGCTGTCTTGCAGACATCGACGAGTGCCTGTCTCAGCCATGTGTGAACGGGGTGTGCCGGAACCTGGCGGGCCCCTTCGCCTGCAAGTGTGCCCCTGGCAGCCTGCTGGAGCCCTCGGGTACTGTGTGCCAAGGTGAGGGCCCCGCTGCCCCCGTCTCCCGCCCCCAGGAGGGCTGGGCCCCTGTGCGTTGGGGACAGTGGGGGCCGCAGTGACACCGGCGTCCCCCCAGACAGCGCTAAGGGCGCCTGCTGGCTGCAGGTTCAGGACGGCCGCTGTGAGGCGAGCCTGCGGGGGACCTCCCTGCGGGCCGAGTGCTGCGCCACGCTGGGGGCTGCCGGGGGGAGCCCCTGCGAGCCCTGCGAGATAGGTAATGCCCTGGGGCCTGGCGGGCCCTGCGGGCCCCCCAGAGGTGGCGTGGGAGGCAGGGCCCGGTCTGCATGGAGGGTGACTGCCGTCCCACCCTGCCTGCGCCCGGGGCTTTGCCCAAACACAGGGGCTCGCGTGTGAAGGTAACTTCCTGCCTTTCCGGGGTCCACCACCTCAGCCGCAGGGCGGCAGGTGAGCGCCACGGGCTGCCTGGGGCCCTCCTGAGGTCTTCCGAGCTCTGGAGTGAGCACCCCTCTCGGGGGCCGTGGCCGGGGCCTGGGAGCCCCGCTGACTCTGCCCTCCCCCCCCCGTGGCCACTCCCCAAGGAGTCCCCTGCGCCCCCCGCTGGCAGTCCCGGGCCTCGGCCCTGCCTTCCTCCCCGCAGATGTGGATGAGTGTGAGGTCTTCCCCGGGGTCTGCCCCAATGGCCGCTGCCTCAACACCCCCGGCTCCTTCTGCGAGTGTCCCCAGGGCTTCGCGCTGGACGCCACCGGCCGGCTGTGTGTGGGTGAGTCGTGCTGCCCGCCCCAGTCCTTGCCCCTGCTGGAGACCGGACACCCCGCTGGGCCCCGCCCAGTCCCCCCACCTCACCCCCACCCCGCCTTGCCCCGCCCCGCCGGGCCCCGCCCAGTCCCCCCACCTCACCCCCACCCCGCCTTGCCCCGCCCCGCCCCGCCCACACATTTCCAAAGCGGCCGCATTTGGCGCTGCGGCCTGTCGGGCTGAGGCTCAGGGCCCGCCGTAAGCGCAGAGGAATATTCTCTGCAGCTTCTGCTCGTCTCTTGTCTCTTCTCGTCACAAGTCAGGTGGGCGCGGCCTGGGTGGAGCACAGGCCCCTCTGGCCTGCGGGTCTCCTCCAGCTGCGGGGTCCCTCCTGCCTCTTTGCCCCCAGACGAGGGTCGCTGACTGTCCTGTCCGCCCGCAGGTGGGGTGTTTCTGGCTGGACCTGGGTGTGTCCCTTCCGACGGGGCTTGAGGTTGTGCTGGACAGTGGAGTGAACGGGGGAAAGGGGCCGGGAACCGGAGCAGCGTGAGCAGAGACCGGGTGGCCTGAGGGGTGGGAGGCCTCCTGTGCCAGGCTCTGCGGGAGTGGCATGTGCAAAGGGCCTGGGGCCAGTGGAGGTGTCAGGCGAAACCAGGGATTTGAGGAGACCATGAGGTGGGCAAGGAGGCCGCTGCTGCCCGTGGTGTCCTGAGGGGCCTCGGTGGGCCCCCTTCAGCGGCCCCAGAACGCTGGCCTCAGGGCCCTGACCCCCTCGAGACGTCCAGTCCTCCTGTCTGCCTCGTCCTGCTCCGTCCAGCCGGACTCCGCTCCTTGGGCCGTCGAAGCCGCAGGCCTCGGGCTCGCTTGGCTTCAGCAGGGGTGGGCGGGGGGGCTGCAGGGGAGCAGCCTCCCGTCGGCCTCTCACCCGGGCGCTTGCCCCGCGCCCAGATGTGGACGAGTGTGCCCAGGAGGCTGCTGTGTCGCAGAGGCACCTGCACCAACACGGAGGGCAGCTACACCTGTCGGTGCCCCGGGGGGACACTGCCGGCGGTGGGCACGGCCTGTGAGGGCGGGGGTGCAGGCGGGGGTGCAGGCAGTGGCGTGGCGACACGCATGAGTGGTGGGGGCGCCCGAGGAGGAGGGTCGGTGTGCGCGAGACGTGGGCCGCACGGGCGCAGGGTGGGGTCGTGTCTGAGTGTGCAGAATTGGCGTGGGTGCGCCTGAGTCCGAGTGTGTGGTGCCTACGGGCGGCCGTTGTGTGCGTGCCCGTGAGCGTGCGAGGTGTGGACCTGGTGTGTGTGTGCGCACCGGCCAGTGCACGGCAGGGCGTGCTTGCCCGCGGGTCTGTGAGCGCACAGGAAGGTGTACCTGGGCAGAGGCGTCGCTGCAGAGGGCAGGTGTGTTCACTGCGTGTGCAGGTGGCTTTGCGTGCACGTGAGCGTGGGAGAGCGTGTGTGGGTGTGTGGCCAGCTGTCCGGTGGTGTCTGGGTGCGTGCGGGGGACGCGCCCAGGGGTGTGCTTGCCTGCGAGGTGCGAGTGGGGCTGCAGATGCCGGTACCTGCGTGTGGGCGCGCGGGCCTGGGTCTGTCAGGGCCGGCAGAACGGCCGGGGGGCGGCCGGGCGCCCTCTCCCGGGTCCCCTCACCAGCAGTGTGCCCCCAGACGTGGACGAGTGTGCCCCCAGCGAGGGCCTGCGTCCCCACGGCCGGTGCATCAACCTCCCGGCGCCTTCCGGTGCGCCTGCCCCGCCGGCTTCCAGAGCGCCCCGGACGGCCGGGTGTGCTTGCCTGCGAGGTGCGAGTGGGGCTG